TCTCATCGATGTTTCTAACTCTCTATCTCTCTCCCTTCCTCTCTGTAAAAAATCAATAAAATATATTTAAAAAAAACATTTCTTACATACCTTTATATTGGCTAGGTCGGAGCTCATGGAAAAAATCCGTTACATCTTCTAATGTTTAAAGCAGCACTACAGGGTGAGCACAGTAAAAGCTGTGATCCAGATTGTATGGTTCAGGGCATTGAAATTTGGAGAGATGAAGTGTCTTGCCCAGAGTCACAACACTGGGTAATAGATCAGAGTAATAGATCTGAGGTGGGGGATATATATGTTCCCTGAGGACAGAGATCCCTGAACAGAAGATCCCTAGAATAAGTTCATCCCTGGGCAGCTGAAATAAGAGCTCTCCTCATTAGCTTTCCCACATCCTCCTGCCCCAAAGTTGTGTCCATGAGAAAACTTGTGCCCAGTGGAGGTGCCTGGCCCAAGAGAATGGCTCAAATCCTGACCCAACTCCTGACTCTACCTAGCTTTCCCACATCCTCCTGCCCCAAAGTTGTGTCCGTGAGAAAACTTGTGCCCAGGAGAATGGCTCAAATCCTGACCCAACTCCTGACTCTACATTTCAATCGGTAACTGGAACTAAAACACCTTTTCTCAAAATAAGAACCCCAACCCCTTGATGGCCTGGGGGATCCAAACTTATGTCCATGTTTCCCTCACTCCCCCCAGCACTTGATTCTATCAGCTTCCTTGCAGTGAGACTTCCCGGTGGTCAGGTGACCACCCTGATATGACCAGTCGTCTGACTCCCAACTGGCTCAGAACCAAGGACATTCCAAACCAACTGCCATATGACAAATGCACAAAGAATTAGCTTCATCTTCAACTGACCGAGTCTGAGCGATAAGCAGTTAACCTGGAAAAGGGTTCTGCTGGGCTGGTGTTTTGGTGGCTTAATGCATGAAATCTACACGCCCCCTGACTACTGAACTGAGCAGCCTACACTGAGGCCTGGCTGAGAGTGAGCATTGGCAGCACTGGCTCTGAGTGTGCCCCTTCTCTGCCCAGGTCCTTCCACATCAAAACCCAGTCTCTGCTATGCAAACTGCAGTCTAGTGAACGAGGCTCTACTGGTGTTACTTCCACAGCACCTTCTGTGAAGTGGGGGAGCGGCATTTGTGCCTCTACCTGTCATTTGGACAGATGCCCATTTTCATCTGCTGAGCCACTGCTGGGGACGCCAGTAGATTCTTTTGACTGCAGATGATTTCCTTGTGAATCTTGTATTTGGATCCCTTATGTGGGTCCCTTCCTTTTTATAATCTTGAGCCATGATCCTGGAAATATATTCAAAACAGAAAAAAATTATTGACATGTCCCTGGCAGAAGACCATGAGAAAGCATTCATTCATTCCCAGGTCCCACTTCTGTTCTTGTTCACCCACTGCCTAGGGGAGCCAACTGGATCTGAGATAGGCTTGGAAGAGGGAAGTTGCAGTGTGGTGTGGACTTACCATACCCAGCTCACTGATCGCGTGGGGACATGACTTTATTTCGATGGGACAATATAGAAAGTCAGCACAGTACAGTGACAGCATGGGAGCTGGTGCCTGAGGACCTGTGTGAAATCATCCTGGAAGCCACACGAACCTGTCCTCAGTTTCCTGTTCTGTGACAGGGGGCCTGTTTATTAGTTTTATGACGCTGAATATAAGAAAATTCAGATAGAGGCTGAAGAAAAATGACTAGTCCTTCATAAGTGCCTCATAAGTGTTCAAATATTAAGTGTCTGGAAAAATAAGCAAGAAATGAGATAGCACCCGTCTCCAGAGGACACTTGGGTGGCTAGAGGGCAGGGGAGGGTGGAAGGTTACTTTTTCAGTCTATACAAGGGTGTGATGATTTGTAACAGCTCATGGAGAGTAACCATCTCCTGTGATCTCCACGTAAGCACTGAGGGGTCGGCACTGAAATGTACAGGAATTAAGTCACTTTCCCAGTGTCACAAAACGGATGACAGGTGGATCTAGGACAGGAATGTAATTGTTTCCCTGTGGGTAGAGATCCCTGAACCCCTAAGTACTCTAGATCATGTCCTGGACTCCTGAAATATAGGCCACCCCCCCTCCATTGCCCAAATTCTACCCCAGGATCCCTGGGAGGAGACAGGAGGTGTCTGAGCCAAGAGAAGGGCACATTCCTTACCCAGCTTCTACCCATATGTTTCAATTCCAGACCCAAAAGCTATGATGTTTTCTTCAAAGGAAGTCCCTTGAAGGACCAGAAGGTCAATCTGTGTCTCATCTCCCCCAGCATCTTCGTACATCTTCACTTTAAGGTGTGCCTCCTGAGGTCTGAGGTCTGACCAGTGGTCTGCCCGGCTCCTACACAGCTGAGAGCCAGGCCTTTCCAAGCCAGCTGTGCACATGGCATCTGACGAATTAGCTTGGCCTTCAATAACAAACCTTGATAAACAGTTAGTGCTGATTCCTGAGGAAGGTGAGTAGTTGGGCTGGTGCTTTGGTGGGTTAATGGATGAGGTGGCATGCTTCACATCTGCGGACCATTGATGTGAGCAAGCACCTGAGCAGCCTGGGCTGAGGCCTGGCTGAGAGCAGGCAGGGCTCCACAGGCTCTGAATGTGCACCTTTCCTGCTCATTCCTTCCTCACTAAACCCAGTGTTTACAAGCTCCTCATCATTCCCTAGACACTGCAGCGGCAGGGCACAGAGACCCATGTCCTCATAGAGGGACCCCTCCTTAACCAGAGCCTGTGGCCCCACCCCAGGACCTCTCTGATAATCACCCAGACCCTCCTAACCTGTCACCAAATGTTTATTCCACCTTCCCGCTGGCACTGTCCTTCCACCTCTCGCCTAGGCATCACACCAACACCCAATGATCCTGTGCACACCAACCCATAGAAATTCCAGTTCCTTTCCTTTCTAAAAACCTCTGGATTTAGACTGCTAATGTTTGGTTGCAGGTTTTGACCTTTACACCAGAGGGGTTGACTGGAATTCCCCTTTTCTGTCGTGTCTGCTGCTGTGGTGGTATCAAGGGTCTCCTGCTCC